GAAAAAAAAAAAAAAAAAAGAAAAAAAAAAAAAAAAAAAAAACGAATTAAATATAATAATGACGTCAGTTAAATTTTTGTCAAAATGGGTCCCCAAGTTCTTGTTTTAACCTTATCCCCGTCATCTTGATTTAGAACACCTTCCCCAATACCTATCTCACATCGAACTTTCGCTTTGTTAATCTCCAGAGGTTCTCTAATTTTTCGAATCTTGTATTCTTGAACGACTGCCAAGGTCTTAGGATTTAGCCAATCAAAGTTACCACGGCATGTTTTGGAATGTTCCGTGGCTCCTGAACTCGACCATTTTTGATTTTTGCAAACTCTTTGGTGTTCTGCACTTCTTGAAATGATTTTCTTTTTGGTCTCACCAATATATATATTTCCGCATGAGCATTTAAGTTGGTAAACCTCCGGATTTGAGTTCGGAGGTAGTTTAGTTTTGTTGTTGCATAATATATTACTTAAATTAGGAGCTGAAGTAAATATAACTCTGATGTGTTGTTTTTTAAATTCTCTTCGGAGTTTTGGGCCAATAATAGGTATCCAAGGTAGTTTAACAAACTTTTGATCTAACTGATTAGATGTAGTATTTTTTTTTTTTTTTTTTTTTTTAAATATTGTTGTTTTACGAGCATGAACTACTTTTACGATAAAATAAAATAATTTAAAATAAAAAAATTTTAAAATAAAATGAGCGTTGTTCAACGGTTTGTTTTTATGTTGTTTTAAATAGCCAAATATCGTTGATATATTTTTACATCAAAATATATTTAAAAATAGTTATACGCTGCCTTTTTTATTAAAATCAACTTACATATTATATATATATATATATATATATATATATATATATATATATATATATATATATTATATATCGTATAACAAGAAATGACTTTTAAAGATTTTATTACTGCTCTTTAAGGCAAAGAGATTTACAATGAAACGAAAAAATTGCAAACTTTGAAGATACGAAATGCAATTGCGAAAAATCAACTCGTTTTTCTTCAAAAATGCATATCAAACAATATAATTCCAAAATCGTTTAAAATAAAAAGTCCACTACGTACCAAAAAAAATTAGTAGTTCATGCTCGAAATGAAGCAAAAGAAAGATTATATTCAAGTAAGAAGTTAATTGATGAATTAAATTTATATCTTCAATCTCAAATAAGATTTAATGACTATGAGATAATTAATAATGTAACGAACAAATCTAAAAACTACCATTATTTTATAAAAAAAACTAAAATGAAAGAAAAATTCTATAAATTGAAAAATGACATCAGTTATAAAATCAATTTTGAAAAAAATCGTCCTAACCGAATTTTAAAACCAGCTATACTAAATTTAACAAATATTAACCTTGATAAAGCAACTACTGAACTACTTAATCTTGGTCCAAAATTTGTCCCAATACAAAAGAACATCCCTTATATGGACATAATCACTAATATTGAAACTTGCGCCTTGGAACTCGAACAACAAAATAAACAAACACAAGCAGAGATTCTTCGACAAAACTGTTCCAAAATTCTAACCAGTTCTTTAAAGTTAAAAATAAAAGATAATTTAACAAAACAACAACGCCTTTCTTTACAAAACCTGAAAAAACATTCACATCTAAAGATATATCCGTTTGACAAAGGAACAGGTTTTGCTTTATTATGCGAAAATGAAGCAAAAGCGAAATTAGAAGAACAAATAAAAAATAGTAAAATTATTGATTACGACCCAACACCCACATTCACTACTAAATTTCAAAAACTATTATGTAAATTAAGAAAACAAGGTAAGTTAGACAATGCTACTTTTTTTAAAATATATCCATCAGATTGCGTTCCACCTAGAATCTATGAAATGGT